AACTCTGCGCGCCATGAATTCAAGCCCAAAAATTGCTCAAAAAGTTTGATTTTTTGCGAAAACAGCGCCAAAGAGTGATGAATGCGTAGATAGTCGATTTGGCAAGGTTTTATCTGAAAAGACTGAAACGATTTTTGCACTGGAATGTAGCCCAAGGTGACTATTATCCTTAAGACGATTATCAAAGTAAAGTAAATTCAGTAATCCGTTCAAATTCGCATTTGTTTCCTCGCAACAAAGTTTTTTTTTTCTTAAAATTACCGATCTTACATGGAAATGCTTCATGAATGAACGGTTGTTTACGATTCATTTGTGATGCTCAGCATCGCGTGGTGAGTTTCAAAGCCATTCTCATGCGAACATGAGAAAGGCATAAGGACAGGGAGCCAGTGCTAACCTCCGCGAAGCGGAGGTGACGCACTGGTATATATATATAGATGTAAGAAAAGTAGAGATTTAGCAAATAGTATTGCAAGATCACGCGCTCCAGCTGTCCGGAAATCAGGGCCGGTAGTAATTCCCCGATTTGGCGGCAGGTCTCGCCGGTAGGTCGTTGGCAACTTGCCGTAAGGTTGCCAGAAACTATCAGAAAATTCCTGGATGGAGAGTGCCACCGCGATTTTGAAAAAACCTATATCGAAATTTGATGCTCCAGGAATCTTCCTGTAGAAATATATTGGGAAGCGCAGGAGGAGCTGCCGGTAACTTCGCGACTCAGTTGCCGGCAACCTGCCCCGATATTTGCGAGGTAGCATCCGCTGGCAGGTCACAGAGCACGAGAAATAGCGGTAGTATATATACTACCGCTATTTCTCGAAAGGGGAAGTTGCCGGCATTTCGACGCGCCCATACCAAGTTGAGGTGCTGGCACCTTGCTGGCGGCGTCTGTGAATTTGGGTAATGCGGCAATTCACATAATTTACGTCTGGCGAAGAATCCAAAAAAATTCCACTTTTTGTCAAAAAAAACTATCATTTTTCTTATCGTATAAGTTTTCCTCTTTTGAATCGATGATATTTTTATAGGTAAAAGTCTAGTGATTTTTTAAAACCATAAAAACACCATTTTTTTGCAATCCTTTTTGAATCTTGTCTGCACCAGTTTCGCCTCTCTCTTGCTCATATCAATCAACTGTTCTTTCAGGTCAAAATCTCTCACGCAATCTATTGATTATGCTGTCTAACAAGCGGCCACTTAACTGGGCATTTCTCCAAATGCTAGTGCAAACGATAACTATTGAGTGAACGGTTAAATGGTTAGTGCTGCGACGCTTGAAGTTGATGCCAGGTTCGAACGCGCGGGATGTAACTGTTTTGCGGCTGTCTGCGTCACCAAAGAGTGATTGCAAGGTTATATAAGCTAAATAGAACCTACGAGATCAGCCAGCTGCGGCTGGAGTTGACAATGTGCCAACTTGCCGGCATCTGTGATGCCATCAGGTAGGGTAGACTACTACCGGCCCAGGATGGCGCGCTCGAGCTATCGCGTACTCTCTGCAAGATGCGTGTCGTGCCAAAGCATTGTTCCGACACATAATGCAGTTTCGGGATTTTATCGCAATCACCTGTGTAGGGGTAGAGGACATTAGGTCGACACTAGGCTCCACCTACATAGACAGATAGCAAGCGGCAGTAACGGTGAAGGCGCGCTGTTTGTTGCAAATGTCCGCGTGGGACCACCCTTTCGGCGACTTAATGTCCTCTACCCCTTGTGTAGCGCCGTCATTTCGCTCCTACACAAAACTTTGGACTGCGCGAGACAACATAGAATGTCTGAGAAATCAAATGTTCACATCATCAGCTGCAGTTTGCTACATCCACGTTCTGTTACTTTATAGCATTGACAGAGTTCAGAAAGTAATAAGGCCGCGACCTAAGTTTCAACCATACGTTGTAGCGTTGTTGGTGTTGCCAGTGTTACCAGCGTACAAATGGAAAGTAGACTGCAAGGCTGGTTTTCCTTTGAGGTGGAAGACCAGTAAGGCAAGGATGCTTGCAATGAACAGATGTAGCATTAGTAACAATGGTAAGTATAACCGTCCCTTGAAGCTTTCGTAAGAGAAAAATTGAGAAAAGAACGTTTTGCAAGACAGTACTCACGGCTACCCGGCGTGACTTGTCTCAGTGGGCCGCGCAGACGACAAATTCTCTTCCCCCTGTACTTGCTTTACCAAAGCGGGTGCAAAGCGTGTCGCACACGACTGCGGTTCAGTATGATATTTTAACGGCATTACGGTTATGCGGACTTATTCGCAGAATTAACCTTACTTTCTGTTTAGAAAAAGATTATCTCGCGTGACTGATATCTTATCTCTTGTTGACGCTATATTCTCTGCAAAAAGTCGGTCGGGTTTCATTTTACTCACACATTACTGACAACAGGCTGCAACGTCTTACTCGAGAAACATACAATACTGACCATGGGAGAGAAGTGGGAACTTCGAAGTCGGTTTCTATCCTGAAACCTTTACGATTTTAGAATGCTCAAAACTGTTTCAAGAATGCTGCACAATGTAGCCCCAGTGGCTCACAAGACTCCACAGAAAATCACCATAGTCGGAGTAGGCGCTGTTGGAATGGCTTGCGCTTACAGCATACTGCAACAAGTCAACCAGAATCACGTGAGCGAAGGAGGTTTAGGAAAACGAGATTTTGCAGAATTTATGCACTGAACTATGCTTAGTGGATGTTGCCGAAAATAAGGTGAAAGGGGAGATGATGGATTTGCAGCATGGACAAGCGTTCACTGGACGGACCGTTATAAGGGCGGATACGAGTAAGGATCAGTTTTTTTATAAGATAGGAGAAATGCGCGGTTGAAGGGACGCGAAGACGGCACTTTCGCACGCTTGTTATTGTTTAGTATTTAACTATCCTGTATAACCTGTCTAAACATCTCATCGAGATGTTTAGACAGGTTATACAGGATAGTTAAATACTAAACGCGCAAAAGTTCTCCTCTTCCTTCTTTTTGCTTAGGTTGGGCCAGACTGCGCGGCTTACGCAGCATACGCACACATGCGCGAAGATGTTGGCGTAACTGCGTACCCGTGCAGTCTGGCCCGACGCTCAGGCAAAAATTGCTCCAGGGTGTGTCGCATGCTGAAGCTGTCCTGCGCGCAAGTGCCCTGACGGCATAACAAACTTGCGAATCGGCTTACACCCAGATAAAGTCATTATCAAGCTATCACACACAATTTCTTTGTAGCTCATCATTCCGACAGGTTAAAATTGGCGATTGGTCGAAATAAGTTGGAAGGTCTTAAGTTTCTTGCGTAGAACAACAGCCTCTCGCTCGTGCGAACAAAGTTCCTGGAGCCAATAGTGAGAAAAAACTGCGCTCGGTTACTTGCAACATCACAAAGGACCTTTACAACGCGTGTTTGCCTAATCATTTGATAAATAATAAAGAAGTAAGTGACTTTGTTCTTGCGCTTCGCTCGGAGTCGTGTTCAAAGTACTTTGGAAAACATGGACTCCGTTTAAGATGCTAACCCTGGCTAAAGTTGTGACATGTTATCACATTGACGACCGCTTGACACACATGGTGTGTCAAGCAATGACTACCGCGTGGGACCGCTTGATATACCATGTACGTCAAAACTTGAATTTCATTAGAACGACTATCATTCTGGAATACACTCACTCCATGAGCTTTCTTTTGCACTGGATTTAGAAATGACCTCTACCTTTTTGTCAGCCTTTCAGAACTACTGTAGGTATACTGTAGGTGGCAGCATGCGTAGTTACAGTTAAAAAATGTGGGCTATTCTGTAAAAGGCCTTGGTCCCAGAAGGCAGGCAACGAAAAATCTGCATGGTCGTCAACGTGTTATAGAAAACAAACACTGCAGTTTTAGAAAGCGACAGAATGATAATGACAAGTTGAATCAAGAATAGATATTTCCAAAACTTGCATTGTCTCTCAAAAGCAGCGTCCCGGCAAAAAGATGAGTGCCGAGTTTCTGTGGCGATGGCAAAGTAGACCCCCTACTTAAGCGATGACTGAAGTTCGTAGCGGAAAAGAAGGTCTACTTTGAAATTTGCCCCGAACGTGACCCGGATCTTACAGTAGGCTCGGGTGAGTACGAGATGCATGCAAGGTAGAGAGGCAGAGTCGTTGCAGGACCCTGCGCTCTTGACTGTGTCGCTATGTGTGCTCTGGCCTTGCAGCTTGAAATCGATTTGTGGGCGGCGTTCGGGCCTACCGTAAGATTCGGGCCACTTGGGGGGCGATTTGTAGAGTTCGTAGACCCCCTTTCGCGCTGCAAACTTCTGCCATCGCTTAGTAGGGGGGCCTACTATTACATTAATACCAGAGCCAGTTTCGATCTGGTGGGACGCTGCCTTTAAACTTTTCTCACTGCCCTGACCGCAATGACGCAGCGGTTGCGCATACGAGTGCAGCAATAATTTCAATGGGCTGATGCTACTAGTTTAGCTTCTTTTCAAAAACTAGAAAATCAACATTTGCACATGAATTATACACAGATTTTGGAAAAAATCAGACTTGCTGAAGCAATGTGCAAGCGACTTTTGACTACCAATGTCAGACCAAATGATACACAGCTTGTTGATCTGGGTTATAAGAGGTAACTTAATAGGGAATGAAAATGTACGCGGACTGATTGATACAAGAATCCAGTTCAAACAGAGATATTGCAAGATTATAAAGCTTAGAAGTTTTTAGAAAACCAAACAGCTCTGCAAACGCTTGCAACTTCTATCAGAGAGATAAGGTTCAACAGATGAGTAGACCTAATAGTTAACGTCTCAAACTTACTCAGAAAATCTCATATGCGTGGAATGGTAGGATGTATTCCAATCACTTCTTTTACCTCCTGTATATGCCGGATTTCTGATAGGCAGCTCAAGAAAATCATCAATCCATACATACAATATAATTTAGATTAGCGCAAAGTTGCAGGTCTTACTAATTTACATTCAGAATATGATATTACTGATCACTCCAAGCTTTGCATCATTACTGCTGGCCTACGACAAAAGATAGGCGAAACAAGACTTTCTCTTGTGCAGCGGAATACAGATGTGTTCAAAAAGATCATACCGGAGCTGGTGAAGCGCTCTCCGGAAACAATCTTACTGGTGGTTGCAAATCCGGGTATGTCTAGCTAAATTCGTCCCTTCAAGTAATTCGATACAATTCTAGTGGACGTTTTGACTTATGTGACTTGGAAGCTTTCTGGTTTACCCCAAGAACGGGTTATCGGCTCTGGAACTCACCTGGATTCTGCAAGGCATCACATACAAATAGAGAAGACGTAACTTATTGAGGGCAAATATTTCAGGTTTCGTTACCTTATCGCTGAGAAATTCAATATATCTGCGTCATCCTGCCATGGATGGATTATTGGAGAGCACGGTGACTCTAGCGGTATGCACCACATGTCATGCTTATGAAAAGCACAAAAGCAACACATTCTTTAGCAAGAAAGTCTTACATTGAACTTGATTTCAGTACCTGTATGGTCCGGGGTGAACGTTGCTGGAATTAGTATAACAAGCGTTAGCAAGCAGGTGTCTTCGCATATGAGCTCTGAAGCGTGGGAGGAAGATATTCACAAGAAAGTCATAGATAGGTTCGGAGAATCGACAAGTTTGAAATTTTTCGATATATCCCGTTTTTCAGTGCCTACGAAATTATCAAAATGAAGGGCTACACCTGTTGGGGAATCGGACTTGCAGTGGCAAAAATAGCAAAAGGAGTTATGAGAAACTCTCGTAACATCTATGCACTTTCAATTAATGTAAAGGTAATATGATGGTGATGCTCGAAATGGTCAGTCATGACCCCATTTTTAGGGTATGCACGGTATCACTGATGATGTCTTCTTGTCGCTTCCTTGTGTTCTTGGTATTGGTGGCATTACTCAAATTGTTAGGCAGGATCTCAATCAAGAAGAAATTGCGAAACTTCACAAGAGCTGGAAAACGCTTTATGAAGTACAGAAGCAAATCAAATTCTAAGATGAGACGTGTCGTAATACTCGGTTAAATTATTTTGTATTATAGTGGTCTTGAACAGTGAAGAGTTATCTAATTATACTGGTCAGTCAGAAAACAAATCTGCCACCGAAAATGACTCATCTAACAAAAAGATAATGGTACTTTGCTTTCTCGAATTGGAGACATAGGAGCCCGTTTTACATGTCAACAGCAACATCTTTAACGGAATTTCGCTGCTAAATTCTCACAAATGAAATGACATGCATTACGAGGTCTAGGTATCTCGGGATTTTATTGTCTTCAAAAACAGATTCATTCACTCCGTAAACTTATAGGCAAATGTGATGGAATCTCAGTGATTATTGAAGACAGGCCTACATTTCCTAGCATTGACTTGCCAGGCACAATTTTCACTGATCTGTTGCACATCTAGTGCATTTTATTCTGCTGGAACTTGCCAAAATATAAGTTACCAGCCGCCCTCTGCCGCTACGCGGCAAGTTCGGCTCATACTCAGCATGAACTTTCGTTTTACTTTTTACTTTTTACGTTAAATGTGAAAATGTGAAAATTTCCGGACAATCCCTTCTTGCACGAATCAGATTTATAACCTGCGCAGAAAGAAAAACTGAAGACATATTTCCGGCTTTGTCAGTTCATTTTGACCCAACATTCTAAACAACGTATACTATGCAAACTGCAAAAAATCAGTGAATATTTAGAGGCAATCGGTAGTCCTAAACAGAATGGCTTGTCAAAATACGCCCCACCTCTTACACTATGTCTGCCAAAGTTGGCTTAATTTCGATGACTTCTTCTATCTTTTTTTGTGCGAACATAAAAAATTTTCTAAGCAAAAGTGCACGAATCACTATGTCGATAGGGGCAATCCGTGTGTTTCGAACAAAACGGCTTTTAACTTACGCCCTACCCCACACATTATGTATGCCAAATTTGATTTAGATTCCATTACTCCTTCTGTTCTTTTCGGGCGAACATCAAAAATTTTCTGAGCAAAAACTGCAAAAAATCAATAAATCGATAGAGGCAATCTATGTGTCCCGAACAAATGGCTTATTAACATACAGCCCACCCTATACATTATGTATGCTAAATTTGGCTCAGATTCCACTAGTCCTTCTATCCTTTTTGGGCGAAGATAGAAAAGTGGCTTAGCCAAATATTATATAAGTATTGATTTTGCACATAATATCTGGCTGAGGTAATCTTCAGATCAGCAGTGTGCTTGAAAGTTAAGTTAGCAAAGTTCGTTTAGATAGTCAATCACATTGGTCACACGAAATGATGTTGATTTTAAAAAAGGTTAATCACAAAAAAATTTTTTAAATGAGCAAATCTTTGTTCATATTTTCTATCCTTTACGGCTCATATAGTAACCTATGCTACACTGCATGTCTATGGCTAAATCTCCTCTAATCACAAGAAACTGTTATGAAGTCATATCCTCAAAACTGCGCTGAGAAAAATCTATGATAGAAGCAGTTATGCGTTTTCGTTTTAACACTTTGTTTCCAAAGGAAAGCTGATTTTGAGTTTACAGTAAAGACATCTTATCTTCATTAAATTTAACAGTACTTTTGATTTGAGATTTCCATGGCAAGGTTGTAAAGAAAACGCTTACAACAAAGGAAAAGGCTTTCTTCAGCAATGTACCATGGAAAACCGGTAATTCTGACGCTGTCTTGCAGGAATCATCAGATGCGAGAAATGCCTAGGAAAAATTTCTCAGGCCAAAATTCTGATCTGAACATAAGTATGCAAGGTGATCTCGAGGGCTTGTATATGAGATTTCTTTCCGAGTACTCTTTACTTTCTATAATCGTAATTCGCAACCTTTTATCAGGTTGATGTAAAGGCCTTTTTGAATTTTGTGAGCTACTAATGCGTTAAATTTATCCTGGGTTTTTTCTGCACTGTAGCTCCCATAGTACTTATATTCAATCTTACATACCCTCGCCGCTGAAACTAATGCTGTGTCTGAACAAAATTTTGAATCCAGTTTTTCGCTTTCCTCAGCTTATGCGTTGAAATGCCCCAAACAGCGGTCAGAATAGGGTGAGAATGTCGAAAGAAACCTCTCTTAAAGGCAGCGTACACCCAAAATTTGAGTTACCGAATTTCCTAGATCTTTCCACACCGTGTATATACTGGGCCCAGAAGAAGACCAACTGCGTTGGTCCGGTCTCCCAATGTTGCTTCTGAGCGGAGAAAACCCCCCCTCAATTTTCTTTCACGCCGCCTCTTTTCTTTCGCTCCGCCTCCTCCGGACGAATCCATAACAGCGTAAGCTGCAATTGCAGTTGCAGTTGCTGTTGCAACATCTGTTGCATTTGTTTTGGGTGTACGCTGCCTTTAAAGGCAGCGTTCCGGCAAAAACATGGGTGAAGGGTTTTTGTGGTGATGTTAAAGTAGACGCCCTAGCTAAGCGATGACTGAAGTTTGGAGTGAAAGAGGGGGTCTACCAAGCCTGAAATTTGCTCCAAAAGTGGCCCGAATCTTACGGTAGGCCCGGACGCCCACACAGCAATATCGATTTGCAAAGCCAGAGTGCGTATAGCGCACACAGTCATGAGCGCAGAGCCCCGCAACGACTTTGCGTCTCCCCCTTGCATGCATCTCGCACTCGCCCGAGCCTACCATAAGATTCGGGCCACTTGAGGGGTGACTTGTAGACGTCGTAGACCCCCTTTCGCGCTGCAAACTTCTGTCGTCGCTTAGTTAGAGGGCTATTACATTACTACCAGAGGCAGGTACCCTCGCTTTGGTGGGACGCTGCCTTCAAAGGCAGCGTCCAGGCAATTCTGGACACATGGGATCTCACTGAACACTATTTTTGGGACCTTAACTAAGACACTGCCCAACCGGCAACTCAGAGTGCTCTAACGGCCGAGATACTTCCCTCGAAACTGGACCCCAGGATCGTATTCTGCATGGATTGATGGCAGTTTCGCGCCAGGACACACGTTTGGCGCCATGAATCCATGCGAATTAGATCCGGGGTCCAGTTTGGAGGCGTATATCTCAGCCGTTAGAGCACTACCTGCGCTGAGGTTTGGGCAGTGCTTTAGTTAGGGCCCTAAAATTACTTTTCACGTAAAATCGCCAAAGTCTAGATCTGCCTGGGCACTGCCTTTAAAGGCAGTGGGTCGGCAGATGAGACCCGTGGCAAAACAAGGTCACAGGGTAGGAGCCCCATAATGGAACTTATGGGCCAAAGTTCGGTCTTTCTCTGCCACTTCCAACCCCGAAATTTCAAAGCGAAAGCAGCGCTCATCTCCTCTCCTCTCCGACCCCGCCCACCCCACGGAAGAGTGAACGCGAAGTCCGTCATGGCGAAGACGCAGAGTCATTGCGGGACCTCATGCTTATAGCATTGCGGCTGCCCGCTTTGACCGTGGAAGTCACTCGTCCATGGGGTGGGCGGGTTCGGAAAGGACAGGAGATGAGCGCTGCTTTCGCTTTGGAATTTCGGGGGTTAGAAGTGGCACACAAAGACCGAACTTTGGCCCATAGGTTCCATTATGGGGCTCCTACCCTGTGACCTTGTTTTGCCACGGGTCTCATTCTGCCGAGCCACTGCCTTTAAAGCCCTTGATATGAACATGAACGATTGGACGCAAAGCCCCAAGATTGAAGACGCATGATCGTTGCAAGACTCTGTGACCTTTAATCCGACGGTGGGAAATTCAATGAAGAATGTAGATGTGAAGTCGTACATGGAATATTTATTTGTGCATGATGGTACATTAATACTATACGTTGATTATCACATAGAATTCTTGCAGGAGAAAAGATCAAATGAGAGAAAAGTCATACAAGGCAATCGATGGCTGAAAGTTTCTAACACATCACTTTTTGATCGAAATCAACAATTAGACCCGATGAGATTGTCTTGAGAACATCTGTACAAAGGCAGTGTGCATTTGCGTAAAAACGATATTTGACAATTTGAAAAAAAAACCATGTGAGGAGGGCTATTTTTTTGAATAGTGTCTCAACTTGGGGTTGAAGTTGATGAATATCAGAAAGAAATTTTACCATTTTCCGAAAAATTAGCTCAGACAACGTGGTAACCTTTACTCACAGGTCTTTCACCACTCTTCAGTCGCGATAAACGACGACGAAGTCTTGTGCGTTTCTAAAAAGTTCAATTATAACGATTTTTCAAGCCTTAGAATTTCAAGATCATACCGCAATTTTCCCAACGGGTTGATATTTGGGAGAATTCGAATTCCAGTAGTGACAAATCATTACTGCTGTCAGAATGAAACAAACACCTGAAAAGAAATATTTGCTGAAAACCAGACTACTATCAAACTTTTGCCAACTTACCCACAGCTACCGATGAAAGCAACATGAATCCGGATAGGCCATTCACAAGTCCTGTACGATCTTTCATTTTTGAGAGATGGTCGAGCCAAATGCCAGTGGTAATTACGGCCAATAAATTTCCTACAGCCGATATGATGCAACATATCAACCACATCATTAGCATTGTGCGCCAACGATATCTAAAAGAAGAAAACTTTTATAGTTAAGATAAAACGCGGAGGTTTGTAATTATTAGTGCTTTGCTTTTAGGCAGTGAGGGACGACCAGATTGCGAGTTGTAGAAAGTTCGCAAAGGTTGTTTACATTGAAGACTTTCGATCAACGTCCGTCTACCTTTGTAAGGAATCGTTTGAGTAATCATAAGTTTTCGTACTCTTGATATTAGCTTTTATCTGATCGAAGTACTACTTATTGCGTGAATCAAACAAATAATTTTGGTGTTCAAAAGATTTATTGCTGGTAAGGCCAACTGCTGACCTACTATGACTCTTTCCTTGATCGTCAATAGCTCTCTTCCACAACTTTGCCCAAGCTTCAAGTACCCTATTTTCAGGTGTATAAGCTGCACCTTTTTTGCTCTAAACGCGAGCAGACCCAGGCGTGCCGCCGCGCATATGTCTCGCGAAGCGGTCGCCTTATCGCATACTGCTCTCACTTAACGCGCTCCATGATGACAGTCAGTCTTTTGGCGTGTTCGCTTTTAAAGTGAAAAGGGTGCGGCTTATACACCTGAAAATAGGGTACCATCTCAGCTACACTCAACTTGAGTTTGCAGCTTCTTCTTAACTCCGGGGTTACAATAGAAACTTCTAGCATACAGCGTCATTGTAAATCACGTCGTTTCACAAAAATTCCCAAAAAATCGAGCAAGTTGTACACAAAGGTATTACGCAAGCTGTTTCTGATAGTTCATTTCAAAAGTTTTTAGGTTGTTTGATTTTACATTTTGAGACAATACAAGCCGTTGATGATTCACGAATCTACAGTAATCTCAAAGTAAGAAAGGCTTCGTCGTAAACCTTTGTCCCAATAATCCAACTATGTAGACGTCAAAATTTACTACGCTAACAAGCTCACTTTATGCGTAATAGGAATTATTTCTAGGCTATCTCGGAAGGGTGATTTCTCTTGCAAACCAAATATCTGTACATGAAAAAGACGTTTTACAGGCTTGCAGCCTCAGTTTTGTAATTGTTTGCGCTCCCAAGTACTTCTCTGGCTAATAAAGTCCCTACGCGAGCTAGATCTACGCTGATTTTTGCCAGGTAATTGAAGAGAAACTGATGTTGCTTTTATGCCAATCGAACATTTCACATTTCCTTGAAACTGCAGCATGCGTCGAAGAAAACTTGAATGACAGGTGTAGGAACATCGATTGGTTCGAAAGGTACGGAAACGTTCTATAAAGGCACTTCGGCCATGTTAATGGTAGCTATACGTAACGGAAGTAGATTGAATAGAGGCGAAGATGCGTCTGCAAGAAACTTTTCATTGTATGAAAAAGTGAAATATTAGGAAACCAATGGTTTTTGTACTGAATTCCAAAATCAAATTAGCTTAAATATTATTTTTACCGCAGAAATATTTCTATATCGGAGTTAGTTCTACTAGATTGTTGCAATAATTTTTTGGAGCTTTCTCGGCTATATAGTGCTGGTGGTTTGGAGCTTCACCCTATTGTAGGGAAGCACTGCAAAGTCGTGGGTGTTAATTTGTTCAACTTTCATAGAACATTGGCGGATCGGATTGTTCCAAACTCTTCATGAGTAAAAGACAGCCAAAATTTCCCTTTGGAGATCAGTTGATATCGAAAAAGCTTAGAAAACATTACTCTCATCATATATTCTAAAGAATGCAAGATTTTTGAGGTTCTTTCGTTGAATAAAATGCACTTTCTTTCAACTTTGCTAGCGTAAGTCTAGCTCCTTGTCCTGTGTTCCATCCGCATATTTCTTTTATCTCCCTAAGGCTGAGGAGTGGGAGTGGATAGTCTCATGTATTGTCTGGATTTCAGTTTCTTCAATGCATTTTGCGCGTTTTTTTTGAAGTAAATAAAAATTTCAACGAAAAATCCGGACCCCGAAAAGGGTTGGCAAGCTTCTCAGCTCAATATTTTGATAACGTTGGAAAAGTCCAGTATTATTTCGCAGAGTTATTTCACCACATTTTCTGACATTATGGATCATTCATTACCTGTGCACTGCTCCAAGTCCAAGTGCACCAGTGAGAAGCCCCACCAGGGCTGCTACTGTGTTCATGTGACAGGTGCTCTGATACTCTGCTTCGGTTGGGTAACCGGGACAAGTGAGTCCATGCGCCAAAAACGCAAAGGAAATCGCCAGCTCTGCTCTACATAGATGCACCATGATTTTGACATACCTGCAATATTTATGAAATATGTATTTATGATATGAGTTTCTCTTCGTACAAACATGAGTAATTCTAGCCCACTCAGTATGTTGAAAACCCGATCGTTGCATTACGGTGTACGCTTTGTAGCGTCGTCGTTCCGTCGCGCTCATCTCTTCATCGGTTTCCGAACTCTGTAATGAGAAGGATCGAAAGTGGAAAACAAGTACTATATGTACAGTCATGAATGTTTGAATTCTGAGTCAACTGTAAGGATTTTTGGCACGTATTGAAACAAAACCGTGACTTTTCGTTCTCAAGTTAACCTCCACCAAGTTGAGACTGTGATATAAATTGCTCCTTTATTATTGATTAGTGCTTATTATCATACAATCTAATTCCTCCTTTTTCATTCAAGAAAACTAGAACAGGAAGATTGCACGATCAAAGCATCCCTGCCTTTATCCACATTCAAGATCTGCATTTCTGGCATTCTTCCCCATTTGCCGCGGGAGCGTTTCTTACATTCGGAGAGGAAGTTACAGCTACTTTGGTCTTGAGATAGTTTATAAAACAATATGAATGCTAATAAATTATGATTTTTTCAAAATTCAAAAAGGAAATTGGTAGCAGTAGCGTGGATCAACTAAATGATCTCTTTTATAAAAACATTGCGCAGAAAAATGGGTTGTTCGTGAAGTGTTAACTTACAAAGGCTATCATGGAACTTAATTTGAGTTTTGGCAGAAATGCAAACCTCAGCAAGCAAAAGAACTTACACTACAATACATACACAGGATATGTCACAGAAGTCCCATTCAAAAAATAATTCGGTTTTTACTGTACATTTTGCTTTGGCCTTTAAGCGACATTACGCAAAAATCAGTTGAAAGTAAACGCTTATGCATGGCTAAAGCTTACACGTCCCTTAGAGTTGATATTAATAATAACATACTGAGTGACCTGATAGGCAGTAATTTGATGACCCAAAAAAATTTCCGAAATTGGTCATTTATTGATTTCAAAATGCAATATTTTACTCATAAAAATTTGCAAGAACGACTTCGAATTTTCCAGAATTAGAAGAGCGTGTCGAATTTTTCTCATTAAAAACCAGAGTCGCAAAATACGGAAAGGGAAGCTTTAATCTATGAAATTATGTCACAGAGCTTTTTTCCAGCCTTTCCGAAAATCGTCACAAACTTTCAAAATACGATCGAAAGTAATGCGAATTCGTCTTTGCTGCCAGAAAAAGATGTTCGAAAAGTGGTTCATTTCGTACAACAATGTCAGTTTCTACAAATGTATCAGTTATATAATCACAGTTATCACGGTTCTTTGAGATGTTTCCCACAAATACTCTGTTACCGTACTGAATCTTTAGGGGCTGCACCTACTTCCAAACTGTGATTTTGATTTCATCAGACTTAAATATCTCATTGTAAGTGCAACCAAGTTTTTGTACAGAAGACACACTTTTTCTAAAAAGAACATTACCCAGAACCGTAATAACCCTGCTTTTTCGAGAATTTTGAAAAAATCTCACCAGTACTTGGAAAGACGACATGACGGGAGTGCTGGAATCTGTTAGAAACCTGTTGTAGACGAATCGATGCGGTCTTTAGTGTTCGTCAGTGCCCAGCGCGAATTTCGCTTGAATGCGCAAGGACACAAGCGAAGTGCCCGCCCATTTACAAGAAATTCCTTTCCAGATTTCCTAATTCCCTTTTATGCCTTTTACCCTACCTAACATTCAAATTTTCCCCTACAGCTTATTCTTTATTTCAAAAAATTCTAATAAATTCGAAGTCGTAGCACTTACCACGGGGTTAGGCATAATTATCCGCAAGTCCGGTTCTTCGAACGGCTTTAGCAAGTCCATGCGTAGATTTCGCTGAAATAAATTAATTCAGCTCAGTGTACCCAACTGTATTTATACATGGTGCTCAAGGACAACGGAAAGTTCTGTTAAGAGAAGAAAAAAGTGAAATTTAGCCAATAGAGCAAATCAGACGCAACCCAGAGAGCAAATTTTTACACCTTTCGCCAAATTCTGCTCAGTCGCAGTACAGCTGCCATTGTGGGAATGTGGGTAATTTATTTCGGCACCCATTTTCTACCTTTTGCCTTTTACTATACTTCCGCGAATGGCAGAAAGGCAGAAAATAAAACAACGTCACAAAAATAGTCTACGTTATTTTTATCCTAGTACTATTGTTGGATGCCTCATTGTTTCACATTAATTGCCTACAAAATTGGTGACTATGGTAGAATTTGGATTGTGTTGAAAATAGAAAAGGTTTTTTGTCCACGTTACTTTTTACGATAGAAGTTTTATAAGCGTTATGATGGCTGATTTACCACTTGCTTGAACTGCGCGGAAGCGATAATTGATTCTAAATATTCTATAAAATATAACTTCTGTACTTCATATGAACTGATCGTGCAAGTGCACAAATGCTGGAGTGTCCACCTCAACTTGAAGCATTTTTAGATAAGCCAAGCTCAGATAAATTCAGACATACTCATAAAAAATGACGATTATTTCTTGAGGACGTCAAATCACTTGTTGAAGCTATATTTCGAATTTACCGAAGAAAGATGCAAAGCGAAAAGTTCTTGATATGAAATAAAGCAGAGTAAGAAGTTCAGAACTTGATAAGTATTAAATTATCGATGGTGTTTGAGCAAAATCTCAACCAATTTCGATGAAATTGAAATTGTATAGTGGACATCTTGAAAATTAATATTCTCGCTATGTAAGGGTCAATAGATACAAGACTGATGTATATGTGATTTATGAATGTTCCTCCTAATTCTAGAGTGATAAATATGCAAGAAAACAAATCCAAAAACTTCTTGAAAATGTCTAATTCTTCCTCTTCTGTTTCTTATGCACATCGTTACCATAAATCTTCCACTCTACAGTGTTGCATTCTGGAAAATAAGAGACCGAAATTCAAAATACTTCGATTGTTCCTCTCTTTGGGTATCATAGAAAATGAATTGGTAATTAGGCAAAGTAAAATGCTATTATTTCCAGGGCCGCATGCATTAATATTCCCGCTGTGGAGGAAAACGAAAGCGCAAAAGAAAGCTTCATACTCTGAAGCCCTAACTTTGATGTAAATGTGTAATAGACCATTGGCTACATGATAAATTTGATTCATTACCTCATATTAAACTTTCGCACTCAAGTTTATCTCAAAATGAAGGTAAGGGAATTTGAGGACTGGGATAACTTTTTCGTTGTTAATGCATAATATGAAACATCAAACTGCAAAGTTTTTTGCAATCAAATTATTTGAAAAAATTATTTCCTTAGAAAATCATAACAGCATAAGCTTCGAATATATGTACTGTCTATATAACTTAGTATGTAGGAAGCCAAAGTCTCTCCGGGGTAGGTCGGTATTCAACTGGAATCGACATGGGAATGTAGGTAAGGGACCAAACATCACCTTTCGCTGACTGACACAGCCACCTTCTATTCTAAACCCTACCATAAAATTAGTGTAAAACTTTGTGTAAAACTTTACAAAAAAATGAAGAGCATCTGATCTTTGCCGACTGCGTTCAGCTTAGGCTTATACAAGGACTGAGTCATAGTTTCCCTTCTGCAGCATGTATTAGGTTGGCTCGAAAGTTCTCGGACATTGCATTTAGAAAAGTTTTTGGGGCAGTTAACCCAAAGCGTAGGATTTTGACCTAAACCAGATCTTCAACAACGTTATAAAATGCCCACGTGTTCCAATTCATGATACAAACTATAAATTGGAGCATGCGGGCGATAATTTTTGTAAATTCTGGATGGAATGGAAGGCCTAGAAGGCCATCTCAATATTCTCTTGGAAGAAATATCAGCATTAGACAGATTTGAAATCCGGATAGACGATACTATTGCTTTTAAAGGCAAATATAGAGAAAAGTGAAAATGTCTACTACATTCGCATCTTGTCGGAAATCATAGACCAATGGGGAGTAACATAAGTCTTGCATAAAATTCCAAGAAATTCATTAAAAAATGCTCAGAGCTGCGTTCTAATCTGTACAACAATTTTACTGTGTATGATTCATGCAGTATTCTATGTTGTAAATTAGAGATTTTATTTTTAAACAATATTAAAGCTCGAAAATAAAAATTTGAAAATGACAACTTTTTAGAGACGTCCTATCAGCGCAAATTTATGACATTTGAAAAGCGTAGATTGACTTAAACAAAAGGAAATTTAAAAATGACTGCAGCATTTTTGGAGATTAAAATGGAATAACGCATTTTAACTCTTCTCATTCAACGTGATCTATTGCCGCGATGTGACAATGATAATCATTTCTTAAAGAATGTTTAGAAGTACTAAGGTTTTTCCTTTCTAAACTATATTATTTTGAAAAAATTAGTAAACCTTTAAGACACGAAATTTCAAAAAAAATTTGGTGAAGAGTTATGTTTTGAATCAATAAATTCGCAAGAAACAGAAGTGAGGATCTTATAAGGGTAAGAACTAGTATGTTTAAAGGAAGAAAAAAGGGGAGAGGGGTAGAAATTGCCACACTCTCTCTGAATGGCTAAAAGTAGCTGGAATCAATCCTTTTGCTCCGATGAGAATGGCGCCACTTCCCGTCTTTCCTCCACCCACAAGCCTTCCTCCTCACCCTACTTCCATTATCACACGAGAATCCTCCTCAGAAAAGAGAAAATATTTGTGGGGGCTTGGAGTTATGAGGCCCAGAGTATGACTGACTGAAAGTGGAAGGAAAGGTGAGAGATAAGAAGTGAGACGGTACATGATGAAAACATTCTTTATCTTCTTTTCAGATCTAAGTGAAAGTGCAGGTGTTGTGGTGCCGCTGTTGCATAACAATCTTGCGAAACTTCCTGTTTAAATCAATTTTAAAATAACTTATTTGCAGGCAGCTAAAAAAATCCGAAATTCTAATTTTGCAGGCATGCCATGTTCAATAGAAAACGAGGAAGATTTTTTTCTGAATTTGTCATCCAAAAGCCGAAGGTGAATAAAATGAGCAATATTAGGAAAATTCATGTTTCAAGCGCACCTTTCCAAAACCAAACATCCCCTCGACAAAATTTTCTTACATCTTTACTGCTGTCAATAAAAATTTCTGTACTTGGTAAGATTCCGTATACCATTAAAATTTTCTGTGGCTGAAAAAAATTCTTAGAATTACTACTACTAGTTACGAGACTTCTTGCCTCACATACAAAGTCATTTACGAATTATATCTGCATTTTAGATGGGATACAATGCCTACACTGCTAAAGAAGTGATTCGTATAATCATTGGCACGCTTCCAAAAATATTTTAAGCCCTCATTTATACGACACTTGTGCTGTTGGTCTTCTTTTTCAATTTATACATATGTAGGCTCTCGAGTCATTGAATTGCATTTCGCTGTACAGTTTGATATACTTACATTGAAAATTAACACTAAGGAAAAAGTGGCAACCAGCATGAATAGTCTACGAAATATACTAAAAAATTTGTTCCGCAACTTTTAGACTACGTATACTGCGAAGACAGATTGTACAGTATGATTTGTTGCCATTCTTAGTTCGGAGATCGGAGATCTTAGGAGTAGAGTGTTTGATGATGTTTCAAATGTCAGGACACTACAAATATAAAAATGTGATGTAATCGCAGACGTCTGAATGAATATGCCCTCTTAAGTATTTTCCTGCTCTTATGTTCTTACGAGTATGCAACATAAAAGTGTGGCATTCATGAAGAACTGCTAATTCATTTAAATTATGTTATTTTATAGATAGATGGATTAAGGCGGGAGAAGGGACGAACACATGTGGATTTGTTTTTGAAAAAGGTAACGTCGACTGCACGAAATCGCACGGGTCGTTATAGGCTGAAGGCGCGCGAGCGTGCCCGCAACGCGGCTGCCGAGTACTGACGCTATGATGACTGATGCGCGCGAATGCCAATGTTAGCCCGCAGGAGACACGCGCGCGGGCGTTCATTCCGGTCGATTCCGTGCAGTCAACTATAACAAAACCTAAAACATGAGTTGCACTATCCATTTTGGGATTTCAAGAAAGTTTAATTTTCTTACTAGGCATGTTTAGCATATACTCGAAAAAGTGCACAAAATTTGATTCAACGTTCTTTCGTCTGATACAAATTATCAAGCGACGCCTACACCAGAATTGCCGCATGCCTGTGCCGGCGTCGTGCCGAAAGTCACGCTCCTGCGCAACGTATTGATTGATCGAAATTCCACTGCAATGGCACGGCGCTGACATGGCGCTGGCACGAGCAACTATGAACGCAGTTCAAGTGATACCCTTTTCCAATTCCAACCACACAAATGAAACAGGTGCGAGACGTGCAAAAAACATGGGGATCGAATATTTGGAAATTTGTAACATCAAAGATAAGCAGGTAAGAGTTTTTTGTAGTTTCATACACTGAATGTTTTGATAACTGTGTGTGTCTGAGTTCGGAGATGAGCGTGTGCCAGTGCCGTGCTAGCGTCCACGTGAACCCGCCGACTGATCGATAACGCTGACACGGCGCTGGCACAAGCAACTATGAACCCAGCTAAAGTCTTCGCTAAAGATTTGTTAGAAACCTAATGCGCTATAGCACTTTCGTTTCCTTTTCTCACGTTCACGAATCCACAAAGTAATAACCTTGGAATATGGCTTGAATTGCGTACTCTAGCAAAAAAGTCTCCTAAGTCCCATAAAGAATGAAACATATGAAACTAGTCCGGGCCGGTTTTCTTTGCACGAATAAGGCCGCAGTACATTGAGGCTACAATTCCATATGTGTATACAATCAATCGTGACAACTCTATGGTTCGACGTTCGAAAGAAAAAACTTGAAAACGTTGCTTCTTCCCAAGGAATTT